GAAACAAGCTGAACCATTTCTGAAATCGTCATTGATATTTCCAGATAAATAGGAATTTCTTAATCAATTTTAAATTTAAACTCATTCATTTTCAATTTTATTTAAGCAATTTCATATAAAGTAGAAAATTTCATTAAACTGTCAAGATTGTGAGTGTTTACTCAAAAGTACAATTTTCAAAATGTATTTCTCCAATTAATCTTTAGTTTAGTTTTTTTTTTAATCTTGCTTTACAGAAAAATATGAAGCAATTAATTTGATGTATACAAATGTTACCAAATGTTGTCCCTAGATAATCAATATCTTCACAATTATCATAAGACTTTATTTTTTAGAAATCTCATATCAGTTTGATGACATGATAGATACTGCATGATTGATACTCAAAACTTATGACAAAGATATCAAATCAAATGCATTTCATTGACATGTATATTGATAATCACATGGGTCTTATTTCAAGTCCCTGACAAAGCCAGCCAGTATGTCGTAGTCAGAAACAAATTTCCTTCTCAGTACATGATTTATAGATACCAATCTCTGTCAATCTGCCACCATTTTCATGAAATGGGCTGAAGATCTGCACAGGCACGGGGATATGTGCGATTTTATCATCACAGGATGTGTGACATGGCGACTGTGAAGTCTGACAAGTGTGACACCGGTAATAAATCAAACAGAACTATTGCGTAATACCCAACAGACATTATCATAACAATAACAATAATTATTTTTCTCAAATGTGTTACCATAGCAACTAGTAAAATGTCCTAGCAACCGCATTATTTGCCCCAGTTATGAAGCCAAGATGACAAAAAATTATCCAGAACTTTTATAGGATTGCCAAGAAACACTGTTGATTTACGGTAGACCAGAAATAGAAATACATTGACGTCTGTGTCCACAGAAAGTACATCAAGCAAATTTCTTTTTAAAATAAAACCCAACACATGTTTATATTCTCCATCTCTTGTATTAATTAACACTGATTCTTCACTTCAAATTTTTGTTACATGCTACAAGACTAAAACGAAAGACAGTTTTAGTGAAAGATAATTAGTTTTAGAATTAATTCAATGTTCTAAATTTTAAAACCATCTAATTTCGAAGAAATGGTATTCCTGCGATAATTAGTTAAACCAAATTGAACAGTTACAAGTTCAAAGCTATATATAATGATGCCATATTCAGTCAACCTTAGCTTCCCCTACGAAGTACAAACTATATCAAGGTCACTGATATCGCAACCAAGAAAACAGATGTGCAGTTTCTCAAGAAAAACAGTTGAGTTTTGTGTTTCCGGAATCGGCCAGGGTTGTTTTCTAAAACCATACAATGATAACAGTTTTCTAAAACCATACAATGATAAAACAAAGTTACAGAGGTCCACACATCTGTCAGCATAACAACCCCTAGCTGTATATTTAATCTGATGTCCAGTACCCAGGGCAACACGATACTTGAGGTTCAACACACACAACATGGCGATAACATGGGTCTTTATAATTATACACCATTCAAATCAAATACTTTCTCATTCATCACATTTTTATTTTCTTTACTGAAGGTCCTAACCTAAATTTCTCTTAATATCATGCACTTATTCAATTTACAAATAAATGCTGCATCAAATCTCCACTCAAGATCATACAAGAAATCTTATCCCAAGATCAAACACAAAATATTTTCTCATGCCAGCTACATTGTAGGTACCTAATCTTATCTCAATTAAGGTCAAACACCCATTTTTTACTCAAGGTCATACACAAAATCTTTTCTCGAGGTCATGAACTAATACAAAATATCATTTTCATACCTCTCAATTAGCAGGGAAGAACTGTGATGGCATATGAATACCATTTATCTAGAATACAACCCAACTATCAACATCATGCAATCACTTCCAGCCTAAATGTGTAACATATTCCAGTCAATAATAATATACGTAACAATCATTTCCAAGGACGGTCAATTATATATACTCCGCCTGACTGCACGTGAGACACACTTGGAACACAAGTCTCCTCCCAACCACCCTGTAAGTAATTCTGTACCAAATGTTACACAAATCGTTACGCTTTTTCTGCCCCTACCAACTCATCAGCACCTAATATTGTATCTACATGAAACTCAATAATTATTTCTACACACCCATTTTGTTATCACGCCCGTACAAAAATAGCTTTATACTTCTGTACCGAGATCTATTTTTCTTCTGATATGTATGAACCTTGCCGTAAACACCCTGCAAACAACCCTCACCATCTCTGAATTATGAATGTTTCATGGTGATGTCGTACCTTACCCTAGACGTCCTACAGACAATCACTGATATGTATTTCAGAGTAACGAAGTACACAACTCTGTCCGTCTCTGATATGTACATTTTATAGTGATGATGGTCTTCACCATAGACATCCTAAAAACCACCCTCCTCGGCATCTCTGATTGGCATATTTCATGGTGACATCATACCTTACCATAAATATCCAAAAAAAAAAAAACCTCCTCGTCATCTCTGATAGGCATATTTCATGGTGACATTAAACCTTACCATAAATATCCGAAAAACACTCTCCTCATCATCTCTGATTGGCATTTTTTATGGTGACATCAAACCTTACCATAAATATCCAAAAAACAACCCTCTTCATCATCTATGATATATGCATATCAGAGATGATGAAGAGGGTTGTTTTTTGAATATTTATGGCAAGGTTTGATGTCACCATCACAAATGCCATTGTAATTGACATTGTACCATATCATAGACACACTACACACAATCCTAAATATTTAAAATATGTAATGTTCATAATGTTGTACCGTACCATAAATATCCTACAAAACAGTCCTTATAACCATTGACATTACACCTTACCGTAGCCACCCTACACACAACCCCCACCATTTCTGATATGCATATTTCATGGTGACGTTATGTATTACAGTAGAATACTACAACCAACAAGTTTAACCCCCACACCCCATCACTGTCACTTATATGTAAACCTCATTGTAATGGTTCTTCTTTACCATAGATATCCAACAAATACCCCCGTCTCTGAAAGGACGAGGTTGTCCATTGTATATTAAGATATCATATGTTAATTTTCAACACACAAAATATTATTTATAATAATTTATTGTGAGATTTTAGCTCTGCACAAATGAGATAAATGATGACAAAATGATGAGCAGATTTGTGGGATGAGAATTTCAGGGTTTAATTAATTCAAGTTACGAAAATCACGATTGATGAAACAAAACCAAATTAATCATTGAAGTTGCTTTCTGTAGAACCTTACTGAACTGTAAGACAAAAGAATACAATGTAGCATAATAAGCTATTGGAGTCTTTAAACTGGCATGATATGTACACGGAACAACATTCTGTAGCATTTGACAAATATACAATTGTAAGGAAATTGAACGATACATAACAAGATCTGACAACTGGAATATATTTACGCTCAGTGATAAAGGTGAACACGGAATATTTTACATTTTAAACCAATAACTGTCCTCATGCAGAGTCGACAGTAAGACATGGGGATACAGCCACAATTTATCATGATATAGATGACAAAAAATGTGCTTGCTTTCAAAATGCAAAGTGGTGCTTAGGAAATAAATAATGATTTGCTGCCATGAGGAATATTTGCAAGATAGGACTAAAATATGGGAGCTAGGGGGTTAAGGCTGTGACGTTTGAGGTCCGCCATAGATGTGGGAGCTAGGGGTAAATGTATGTGCGTGTGTTTGTCGAATGTGGAAGGGGGGTAATATCAGTCAGTGCATTATTTGTTTCAGCCATAAATGTATTAAGAATGTAGAGAACAGCTAGCAGGTATAGACATGCTCGGATATAAACTGCTGATGTTGTAACGTATATCCTCAGAATTCCAACGATAAACAGATCAATGTCGGCTACACTTTAACGTTACGTGACAAACTGAAACAGATTTATAAGATGTCTTTTTTCTCTCTCTTTAATACGAATCGAAAAGAAGCCGCAGTTATACCCGTTTTGACATGAATTACAGCAAAAACCACCAGACTTGTCACTGCAAGTATCAGATGGTTCGCTGTAAACTGCACATTTATTGATCAACTATCTTTAAGGCACAACAAACACCTAGAATTAGTTCACAGAGATATTCAAGTCTTTTAGTACCGTGGTATCTATCTGTCAAATGGGCAGAGAATGTCTATAAACTGTTATATATAGATTCTGTATAGATAAATGTCTGAAAACTATATGGATTCCCTGAAGTTTCATCTATAAATTACATGGGTCCCTAGGGATACTTTCTATAAAAAATATGAATTCCTTACAGAATGAATGACATATTATGGTACAACTTGTAAATGTTAATGGCCCACAGCTCCCAACCCCTCTCCCCTTCCCTCTTGACCTTTAACCTTGACCAATGACCACCGAAATCTAATGTTATCATACTATTGTGCACAGATGAACTAAATCTGTGTTCATAATATATACTGTACAACATGTTTTTGCTTTCTACTTGAAAGATGGTCAAGTGTGACCTTTGACCTTGACTTTTGACCCCTTAGTCTTAACCGATGCCCACCAAAGTACAACCTGGCGTAGAACTTGATACTACGTACTATACCATGGTATAAATGTATGCTGAATCTGGGGTTCATGAGATATCTTGTACACAAGCTTTTTACTTCAGACAAAGTGACAATTAAAGTGATGACTACGGTATATTTACCCCCATACCTACAATGTATGTCAGAGTATAATAACGCAAAGTTTTGCTGTGGAATACGAAGGTCGATCATCAATTAATGCATATACAGATCATATGTCAGGGAATGAAATATACAATGAGTGGATGTGGAAGGACTGTTTGGGACTTGGATGTCTCCAATATTCCTATACAGGTGAACATGGAAAGTTTGCTGCTTTGTATTTTATTACAGGTAGTAAGATATACAGGTAAGTGTTTGCAGGTAAACAATGAAACTACTCACAGTAACTTCTCTCGGTCGTACTTGACCACGATAGTTCGACCTTGGATTTTGGCCATCCTCAGTTCTAGATGAAGGCTAATGTAAACAGGTGAGATAATATTACTTTTTCCTCCTTCATGCTTCCAAGTCACACAAATGGTGAATTAATCCTCTGATTTCCATGTAATTTGGATATCAACTATACACATACCGGCGGGCAAATTAAAAAATAAATCAATAGAAACTTTGTCCAAAGTTCCACAATAATATGGTTAGCTCAATATCCAATATTTGACGAGGTTTCCATCGTTAGAAAACAGAAGTTGTCACAAGAAATTATTTTTTTCTTAATCATATATTATAAAGATTTGTCCAAAAAGCAGCACTATGCATATATTAAATCTGTACTAATTAATGTTTGCACATCCTAAGTAAATGTGAACCGCATTATTTCTCATTGTCAAATCCAGGGGTGAGTCCAACTGAGTTCTTAAATGACAATGTCCTGGATCTGAGGTTAAAGTATTCTGCAATAATCCCTAACTCCATGCTCTGACAGTGACTGGTATCCAGAAGATGAGTGTCCAGGTAGTTTCCCCACTTATGACCCTTTCGGGCTAGCGGAGACTAGTTGGCATTATGATACCATCATCACCTGGGTATAATGGCACCCACAACACATTCACCAAAGATTGGTCCGCTTGGAGCTAGTTTCATACAAGCATTTCATAGAACTGACAGCTAGGTCCAAATCTACCTCCTGCATTAGAGTACATAACTGTACAGGTGATGACCTACTCAGGCCATGGGCCCAGGTAAAAATGTCTATTATCTGACCAACGCCTGACCACTAACAACTGTGAAGGGTGGTAAGGTAATTTAGTATTACTGACCGTTAAAGATCGACTAGGTTTCTGTGTAAACTTTTACTTAAGCCATTGTATGTATGGACTAGCATTTGTCACAGTGAAAGGGAAGATGTTTTACTCAACACTTACTTACAATAGGACCGATTACGGCCAGATAATGTGTGGTCAGTTTTACCTGTGTAATGGTCAAACCATTGACCACAGATACACCGCAGGACATGGATCTGCTAAAAATTGAACATACGTGGATTTAATTGGGGAATTTATCATATGAACATGGGGATTTTATTCATCACAGACAATTATGGTCTAATGTGACACCAGAGTACACGTGTATGGCAGATCTTAGAAGGCCAAACAAGAAAAATATCAGTTTCCTGGCATTATTTTTTGTTCTGGACCAGAACAGTTTTAGCCATTATTTATATGGTGTCAGGAGTAGAAGATTATTGCTTCACTTAATACATGTATTTGTAAAGCAAAATAAACGAATATAATAGTGTAACCACGTACAAGCTCATTATCACAAATAAGCTCATCCCCCTCACTAACTTCCACATTTTTCCTGAAGAGGCCAACATTCGGATGTAAGTCAACCCAACACTTTTACATATGAAATTATAGCCCCTGAAATTATCTTTTTTTTCCCTGATTAGAAAAAAACACATTTTCCTCTGATACAATATTTTTTCTTGTATAATTGCATACTTCTTATGACCCTTGGTTTTCAAAGAATTCACAGTGGATTTTTTTCTATCCACAGAAATTGTTTCAATGATTTGGTTTATTCAGAATATGTTTTTTAGGAAGGAATGTGCGTGGATTATCAAGTTTCTACTGTCATAGGAAAAGAATTTTTCTGTGTCAAACGAAAGTATCTATATGGAAAAAGTTTAAATATATTTATAAAAAAAAAAGAATAATAAATTAGATGTCCAGTTATGGAATCTGAGGGTCAAATATGTTAATACATAAGATAATTGAGGAATTTGATTGTCCAGTTATTGGCTTTACAAAATGACCAACATAGGTACAAAGGGTCAAACACATAAATATAAAAGATAATTGAGAAATTTTATTGTCTAGCCACTGGACGCTGGTCAAACAAAATCAGTGTAAGGTCAGGTAAGACGGAGTTTAAATCTGTTAAAGTAATTACAATGGTGAAATAGCACGCCATTGCAGAAAGGTTTGAGGCCTTAAATGAAAAGTTTTACAGATAATTTATTCTCTGACCAATCTCTGGATAAGGGTCAAGCTCAGGTTTATAGGGGTCAATAAAAAACAAATCTAAAATAATTTGATCCAGCTGAACTAGGTATCTAGAAACAGATTAAAGGAGAGTATACCTAGTATTAAAGGACAAAAACTGACTACTTGAACATCAACTTAAACAGATACTATAATCAACTTAGTGTTACTTCTTATGTTATGTTTGGAGGTAGGTTACCAATCGAAATACAACAATACACATTTATAGTCATCTAGTGTTAACTATAAGCTATTGCTAGTATGAAGGGAGGTAACTCCGGTGAAATTCACAACCAGCACCCAGGTTTAGCTTAGTGCTATCCTCGGATGAATGTCCAGGTACAGAAAGCTACCTTTTGAACTTCTGGTGTATATGTCCGTTTGGAGTATAACCTCCTTGATACAAGAAAAGTAGATCTCAATACTACTACTACACTTCTGGTGTATATGTCCGTTTGGAGTATAACCTCCTTGATACAAGAAAAGTAGATCTCAATAATACTACTACACTTCAGCAGATAATTCTAGACTTCCATGCAAATACACACACAAAAAATAGAAATAAACACATGTTGTTTTGATACCGATGTTTGTATATTACATCTGCTTTAGTACAGATGTACTTGTTCCCTGTACCCCCAGAGTACATGCACACCTAGCTATCACAGCAGGTGCAGCCTTTTTTACATCAAAGTTTCCCCAACTAGTGTGCAGCAGTGACAACACTAATCAGAAATCTTTTGATCTCAGGAATTCGGTGATCAGTCAGAGAAGTAGGTGTTTAATATCAATTTGTCCCACCGTGGAGTGTTGACACCTCAATCGTCGATGTGTTATTAGGATATTTACCTGACTAAGACTCCCATTACATCAAGATAGGATGGAGTGAGCCTCCTAGACAATAATAGCCATCAATAACATCAAAGATAAAATACTTAGTTTTTGTAAATAAGTTTGTCAATATCATAATCACTAGGTATCATGTCTTAATTACCAAATAGGACCAGTGCTCGATACATTGTTCATTGGTATGACTTCATTAAATATAAAATAGCTGGAGAATTTGGTATGATAAAGTGCCAAAACAGACAAAAGGAAATAGAGAATGACTGTAACTCATCAGAGATATATTCTCATTCTTGACTTTTGAGCTGGATAAAATTCATTAAGAAGTTAGGTCCTTTAAGCAATGTCATTAAATCAGGATATGATGGAACACAATAGATAAAAATTAGGTCACAGTGACATTTTTTGATTCACAACATTTCTCTTTTCTAGATGATACTCATTTTGAGAGAAATGCTCAAGAAAGTGTTTCTTTTATTTAGGTCAGAGGTCAAAGTATAAAACAAACAATTCCCCTGTATACAATATACCTTGTATGGTGATATTTCGTTCCCACTATCTTGAAGCCTTTGTCGAAATACCAAACCACAGTCTAACAGATGAAACTAATGCAATACTGTTTCTAACTGATGAAGTGGCATTCACTGACCTGTGACTGGTGATATATGTATCGTTGACCTGTCTCCACTCGGCCATGACCTGTTCCGTGTCGAGTCGTAGCCTGCCCACCTCCTCCCCACTACAGTGGGGTAGCACTTCCTGTCGGCCTCGCTCAGCCTCCTCCACAACTGGCTGTACCAGATTCAGGGCTTCCTTCACTTTCTACAAATACAACAAACATTTATCTTGATTAAATTTCCTCAATTATAACCACATTTTTATAATTTATGCATCACCCTAGCCACTACGTACCTACCTACTTGGCTAGAAAGAATTTCTCTTAATCTCATTCAGGAGAGCGTAATACTAGTAATCCAGAGGTCCCGGGTTCGACTCCTAGCGAAGGCATTGAAAAATAATGGCCTTTGTTACATGTATTAAAAGTCGAAACACATCTGTTTTCTTGGAATCTTTGATTAGTACTTTATGGCTTTAACTGTTGTGGTTCTTTAAAACCCCATCCATAGACACTGTAAGCCACAACAGGTTTCTTTGTGTGATATTGTTCTACTTTCAAATGAAAAGGTTCTCAGATTTTACTTTGCCTTTTCTTGTTTTCTTGAACTCAACTTTAGACTTCTATTTCATTAGTGATAGTTTATTTTCAAAACAGGGGAAAATATTGCTGAAAAGCAACAGCACCCCATCTTTAACAAAACCAAAATCCTAATCACATACGTAAAATACACTTAATGGGTTGTCTTGTTACAATCTGTGTTATTGGTGTTTTTGCTATTAAGACAGCTAAAAGTGGCCGTTTCCAACAAAGTTTGGTTGTCATTTTATAATTTTCATAGTAAAAAGGACAAGAAATGCCTGCTTATAGACGCTGGAATGAGAAACAGTTCTTTATAATGAAGAAATATAACACTACAAAAATTAAATCCTTGATTACTTGCAAATAACTGTCAATAAGCCGTGGGGCAACCATTTTCTATTTTTGCTATGATGCCTAACAATCTCTGAGCCATTCACCACTCGAAATTTATTGCATAAAATATGACTCTGATCAAAACACTTGATAAACGTATACTTTTTTATTAATTAATATAAATGTATAATTTTCAGTTAAATTTAATGTTTTATTTTAAATCACTCAGCTCACCTCATAATGCAGAAATATTTATCTTACTTAGGTTTATTTACGTGTTACTAAAAACAGACAAAGGAAATGAAGCATCGCCTAAGTGGAAATCGTGGTCCAACAAAGAAGTCAAGTGGAAAGTTCCTCGACGGCATCATCTGGCTCACATTTAGAAACCTTTAATTGAATATTTTTGTTTTTGAAATGCTAAATATAGGACCATCATTGCCCTATCCGCAACGCCAATGTTACAAGCACCTTGGTGAATGTTTATTTGCCTAACGTATCTAAAACGGATCTAATGTGATCAGTTCACTGGAATGGCACAGAAACGGTTTGAGAGAAACCAAGGACGCAGAAGATGACTCAATAGTCGCATGCACCAGTTTTTTCAGGTGATTTTTTTTTTATAAAATACCAACTGGAATCTGTTGCCTCATGTGAGCTGGATGCTTGAAGGTCTGGTAAAATGGTAATTGACTAACAGGAATCTGTTTTTGAAATGAGGGCTACTGTATGTGTCAAAAACTCACTGAAGTGCCTTACACAGTTTTCTGTCAGTCTCTAGACAATGTTTATTAGAAATATCTGCAGAATTATTTCAACCTTTGACCCTTCCTCAGGTTAGATGTACTTTGTCAAGATAATCTAGAGAAAATTAAGGCAAAGGTTACCCCTGTATCAGTTTTAACTGCGACGAAGAGTTCCATTATGAGTTTCTTTGACATAGTGACAGTTGTTCTAATTAATATAAAGCTCAACTTGCTGGTAGGCGTACCTTTACCTTGATATGAATCAAAGATAGATAAGGCAATTATAAGAAGCAGATAAGGATCTATGTCTTATAAGGGGTTCAAAGATTTCTTTGTATTTTTATTTCTTTAAGTTACCTTGAGAAGTCTTTCCTGGTGGGAGAGATTCTCAAATTCCTTGCTGTGAAGCTCCGGAGACCGTAGCATTCCTTGGATGTTTCCAATCTGGTCCAGGATTTTGTGAAGGTCATCGAGGAACTTAGCTGGTGACCTCCCAGATGTTGCTATGGGAGCAGTCATCATGATCGGTGCTCTTGACCTTGAGATGAACGCTGAATCTGCATGAGTTGTCTCCTCATTAACAGGCTGTCGGTATCGTACCACCTGGTTGCTGACATCAGCGAGCCTCTTGTTCAAACCAACGAGTTCTGGTTCCAAGATGGCAGCAGCACCCTCATGACGAAGCTCTTCACCTTTCTGGCTGATAGAGTTGACCTTATCCTGGCGTCGTTTCAGCTCATCTTCGAAGGCCTGAAACACGAGAGAACACCAGTTTATATTAACAGGTTGAGTATTGTTAATGGCCACTACATAGTGATGTGTTAACTCCAATGTTGTTCCGTTATATCTAGTACTCACAAATGACACACACAGGGTCAATGAATCAGACAGAAATTAGTTTGGCACAACACCACAGTGGAACTCTTACATACATTCAAGACAGGGCAAGACTACCTTCCACCAGAAGTGTATTTAAATCTCCAACTCACCCCGCCCCAACCCTGAACACACTTCAGGGTATTAAAGAAGAAAGCAAAGATACCCTTGGAACAAACGTCCACTAAGTCAACATTTAAGTTGCAGTTCATCTCTTCAGTTTCAGGAGGCTCTCATGCTACACAGAGCCCTCTTAAAAGTAATTTCGAAAATGAAAGTAATAAGAAGAACTCCTGAATCATTGTATTAATGAAATGTATATTTTTCTTTAACCAGGTCTCGACATTTTCAACAAATACATATTTACCAGTCAATATCATATACTTAAGATGTCTGTTAAACTCTCAGATTAAAAAAAAATCAATGGAATTAAACGAACAGCATGTAAGTCTTTGGCTATTGGTATAAGATGCTGGAATCTCAAGGGAATAACAAGGAATACTGTACTGTAGACACTGGGCACTGAGGCAGCGACCAGGTATATAGTATGGGTTGTGTATCGTGATGGAGTTGGCCAGGTATAGTTTATTGTGTAGACGGTGATTGTGTACGGCAGGTATTTAGCAGAGAACAGAAGGGCACCTGTTGTGTCTGTACTGGGAATGACATACAAATGTAGCTAACTACCATTGTATCATTGCAAATGCACCAAGCCATATAAACGTGCTGGCACCCGACCATCTACTACAAACTACAACGACTCTACACCACAAGTCTGATCTCTATCACCCGACCATCTACCACAAACTACAACGACTCTACACCATAGGTCTGATCTCTATCACACGATATAATATATACAAACACACTACAACGACTCTACACCATAGGTCTGATCTCTATCACACGATTTGTTATATACAAACACAATATCATTCAACCATAGCTGTGAATTATTGTAGGGAATCGCATCCAAAATGTCTGCACCTGGTGCACCCTGGGTACACGTTCGCTCCATGATTCTCAGTAGCGAGGTCCTACAGATTGGGAACAGATTTCTCTACAAACTAGTCAGGAAACCTGTGTAATGCTCTCTACATATAGGATCTTACATGCGTTTCCATTTCATACGAGATTTATGAAACAAATCTAAGAATTTTTCAATTTAGCGAGCCTTTAATAAGCCTCTGGCAAGCTAAAATGAAAAGTTTCATCAATTGATATGAAATGAAAACGAGTGCAAGATCCTTTTTATCACATAATCAGGATTTGTGTCATTTATTCGTGTAAATTAAACAACAAATTTCATGCAACCTTTGAGCAAGATCGATACTTTACTCTGCTTGTTCCAGTCTACTCAGCTGTAAATGAGTATGTGGTTGCATGGGCAGTGCTAGAATTGTAGAATGCTAGCTGTGAGCACTGAAATGGCAGCACCAGCTATATGCTCCCCAGGGAGTTGAGAAAGATGTTGGCTGGTTGCAAAGGCCCTATAACCACAGATGATAATTTGTGAACCGCTCCCTCGGCACAATCAGGAAAAGAGCGGTAATAAAGAAAAGACAGGAAGTAAGAACATTGATGGACAATAAACTGTCGGTTTGTAGATAAATGAACTTTGTGGATAACAAAGATCCAATAAATCATTTACAAGATATAAAGTTCATAATTAACGACATCCCTAGGTAATTACCAAATAATCCCTCGCTCGTTATGGATAATTTTTTGAAAACTTGATTCCTTTTTATAACTTCGCAATTGGACTATAAACCGATTTATTATACATGCACTTGATTAAAAATCTCCATATTTTCTTAATTATCTTTGAATACCTTTGAATAAAAGGAACTTTACAGATGTGTAAATGTCTGACTGAATTACTACACTATAAAATGGTATGGTTTATACCATTTATTAGGCTACTTGTTTTAATCCCTGTACAAACGGAACACAATAAAACTTACACTTTACACATATTTTAGCCCATGGTAAAACTATCTCAGGTGTTCCCATCACCGTAAATAAACAGACTCTTAAACTTGTGCTGTGTATATTCAGACACCCTCAACTTACCAACATATCTAAACATCCAAATACACATGGAAAACATTAGAATGCTGAGTATTAGAGTGTTATTACTTATATCAGTACATGAATCTACCATCTCCAATTTCTACTCAAATATTTAACATGGAAGCAGGTGCTTGAAACACATCAAGATGGACTGTGAGATAGCACCAAATGGCTTTCCCTCCCCCTCCGGATACATCCCATCTAGCTCAAGGACTAATGAAGATTAGCTTGATTATACCAGATAGCTGGCACTCTCTACCTCCCCCTTCTAAAATAATCTTTCCAGCTCAATAAGGACCACTGTACAACTTATCCAGCTCAATAAGGACCACTGTACAACTTATCCAGCTCAATTAGGACCACTGTACAACTTATCCAGCTCAATAAGGACCAATGTACAACTTATCCAGCTCAATTAGGTCCACTGTACAACTTATCCAACTCAATTAGGACCACTGTGCAACTTATCCAGCTCAATAAGGACCACTGTACAACTGATCCAGCTCAATTAGGACCACTGTACAACTGATCCAGCTCAATTAGGACCACTGTACAACTTATCCAACTCAATTAGGACGACTGTACAACTTATCCAGCTCAATTAGGATCACTGTACAACTTATCCAGCTCAATTAGGACCACTGTGCAACTTATCCATCTCAATTAGGACCACTGTATAACTTATCCAGCTCAATTAGGACCAATGTACAACTTATCCAACTCAATTAGGACCACTGTGCAACTTATCCAGCTCAATTAGGACCACTGTATAACTTATCCAGCTCAATTAGGACCAATGTACAACTTATCCAACTCAATAAAGATACCACTATATTACCCATGCACCTTAACCCTTTCACCACTATAGACCATAATGGACTTACCCAGATTAATGCATGGTAGAGTTTATCAAAGTTATATAGGGTGAATGAATTAATCAGTACCAGTACAGAACAAACACAGCTCGACTGCTACTTTATCAGGAATGTTGTGTAACAAATGATTTTCAAAGAACCTGTAGACCGTCAATTGTTTTTGGCAGGCTGGAAATCAACTGAGTTTTATTTCACAAGATTTTCTCATTTTATCATGTCATAAAACTGCGATAAAAACCAAAAGTTTACAAGATTCTGAAACAGGAGGCCTGAATGTTCAAACACTGCATATACAAAGTGTAAAGTGGCAAACATCAAAGATCATAGGAACCCAACTCTGTTACATCTGGCCATATAAAGGTGCAGGGATTCAGGGGTGGGGGTAGGGGTGCATGGGGTTGGGGTTGGGAGGGAGAGAAATGGGTCAGGAGGGGGGTTGGTATGGAGAGAGGAACTGTCTATTGGGAGAAGGCCGGAGGGGAGGGAATCAAGACTGGTAGGGAAAGGAAATAGGGAGAGTGATGGATGGAAAAAATAAACAGTGGATGGATGGAAAGAGAGCCATAGGGGAAGGAAGCTAGGGGGATTAAGATATGGGGATAAAGGGTGGGAGGGAAGGGAAGGGGTAGACAGAAAGGAGGGGGAAGATGAAGGCAGTAAAGTACACTTAACTGCTGTTACTCTCATAGACCATTATTTTCTAAACTCTATACTTCTGTTGTAAGTGTGTATACCATTGTGTGCTGTTACTGTGTGCCAATACATAACAGTATCGGTATAAGTACAGTTTTGTTTAATGAGCATTATATGGTTTTCAGCAGGCAGATACAGATGGAGAAGAATCAGATATGAAGAGCAATACAACACATTTGGAGGACAGATGGATTCTGGTAAAACCTGTGTATCTCTGACAACACTTTGTTAAGAAATCATCAGCCTAGAATCAGAATTTAGGTCCAGCTGTAATACTCTGAAATTCGGTCCAGCATGTAATATTTACATTTGTTACACCTCAATTTCTAGCTATTTGATTGGTTGGGAGAAAATTAAACAAAAATCTCTGTCACCCTCCGAAAAAACATTGGTTTTAAGGGGCGCGGGTGATATTGCCATGAGACAGTGAAAAATATCACATGCGCAAAAAAAGTGCGTGCACCGCTTCGTTTCCCCACCGTGATGGTCACAAGAACGTTTGATGGCAACAGCCAATTTCATCAAGCGCCGGTGCGATAGCGATTGTAAACAGCAGACTATCAACAAACAAGATGTCATTATCGAGGTTTGCTGCCGTTTCTAAGCTACATTGACTTTTGGTGTAACAAAATAGATATGACATTCATTAGCAGGTGACAGTGAATATTGTCAACCCTCAAAAACCCATTGTCACCCTCGGCTTCGCCTCGGGTGACAATGGTTTTCTCGGGGTTGACAATATTCACTGTCACCTGCTAATGAATGTCATATTTATATAGTGATATATATAGTCACCTAACAACTTCAGACTGGATGCTTTAGAACATATCTTTTGAATTGATAAGTTACTTGATCAAATTAATAAAGTGTCCCAAAACAATAGACTTTAAGTACGGAAATCTAATAAAAACATGTTCAGGTACCAAGCACAGGACCAAAAGTACATCACTGGACCCAAATATGAGTGTGTCCAAAGACTGGATGTAAAGGATAGTAATGTATTGGATTGAGACATGAAAAGACATTTTTTTGTATGTATTTGCTAGATCTAGACATATATGTGCCTTTTGTACATATTTAAGAGACTCAAAGAATCCCTGTGCCATTAAACAATGGAACACCAAGGTCACTAAAAAAAGCCAAATGGCCTGTTTATGTTGTAATCAAGATGTCAAAAAGAATCTGACAGCACAAAGACTCAATTAGGACTTCTGTATGACAGACTGACACACA